TAGGGGGTATCTCAGAAAGATTTATGTAATAAATTCTTCGTTAGTAGACCTACGTTTATTATTAGCAGAGCGCCCTAGCCTGTAGAGTTAAAAACTCCTACTTTACTCTTCCGTCTTATCCCTTGCGCTCCCCTTGTCGCTCGCCCTTAGCCTCCTCTTCTTTCTACCGCCCTCAGCTATCTTGCCTGCCGCCTATCCGCAGTCTCCACCCTCTGCATCCTCCAGGAAGCCTATAATTAATTGCAGTTTTCGTCAGTCCATAACTGCACGCCGAAAACCGGCTCGCGCATGCGCAAATAACTTTCGAGAAAAATATTATTTTTGCAACTATTCTGGCATTTAAAATGAAGAGGAGTCTATTCTAGCATAGATTATGAAAACATTCTAGCAAGTAGAACCTCACTTTAAAATAGGAAGACGACCTTGCAATGTAAAAACCCCGCTGCGTATACCAGTGCAATACCACAATCTGGCTATACGTTAGTAAGGCTAGCGGTCATGCGCAAATATCTCACCAGAGAGTTATATTTTGATGATAGTATTTAATATTCTCAAGGGGTATCTCAGCATCAGATTTGTGTAATAAATTCTTATCAGTAGACGTGCATTTACGAATTAGGCAACGAGTGCGCCTAGCATGTAGGGTGCAAAACTCCTACTTTTACCCATCCCGTCTTATGCCCTGGCCTCCTCCAGCGCTCTCTTAGCCCCCCTCTTCTTCTAACCGCCCTCAGCTACTTCGCCTGCTCGCCTATCTTCTCAGTCTCACCCCTCTCATACTACATTAAATCTAGAATTATCGTAAATATTAATATAATCCATACTTATAAATCTATAAATCTAAAATTATGCAGCTTTTGTCAGTCCATACAGCTCGTTCTGAGTTGCCAAGGCGTCATGGTGGGGCAGGGCCGTAGCCTGTGTGGGTGGGGGGGGGGGGTAAAAGAGCAGCTGGCCCCTTAAGATTTTGGAGCAAAATAAAAAAATAATCTAACTAATACATTAAATAATCATAACGGATTTTTTGGTCACATATCCGTGAAAGCCTTGGCTAGACGCCACCCTACCCATGGGAATTTGCTTCCAGGGCCTACGACCTTGGTGGCATATTCCCTCTTCTTTTCCCCGCTAGACACGGTCCGTGCGGAAAGTAATGATATTTTTAGGGCGCATGGTCATTCGAAAATTTATGTTAAGCAAACCCTTCGCAAATTTCAAAATCCATGTCTAAATACATGAGTAACCCCATTAGCAATGACATAAACTAGTGGAAAGTCGTTTTTTTGCTAATTAGCTACGTGCGTTTTGCTTCATTCGAATTTTCCTAGTGCCGTGTCCATTTGATAATAAGCAATATAACTTATATATGGGAATTTTAAAATCATTACTTTTTGTCCAGCTATGGTCGCGGCAAGTCTAAATCCTGATACGTGAGCGTGCTACCTGGATGTGTACCGGCCGTATTTGCTGTGGGCGATTCTCACCGTGGCTGTCACTTTTCTGCTCTTCAGTATGGAGGTAAGTACGACCTAAAAACACAGTTTACTATTTCCGAAAGAGCTGTGTTATTAGAAATGGAAGAAGAATGAAAATATTAGAGACTACGAATTAACAAAAAACGAGGACAAGACACAAGAAAAAAAAACGAAGTTAATGGTGGATAGATGAGAGTGGCAGTGGGTGAATTAGTAGGCGTGAAGAATTATGTAGGAAAGCGTAACTATGTAGAGAACGAAATGGTAATGTATGATGTTCTATTCTTACTCTTTACATCTGTAGACATTGTTGCTTTTATCTCACAGGCTTCATTGTCAATCCATGTTGACATTGCCCCACAAGTAAACGCCGGAGTGTTGTTTGGCATCTCGAACACGTTCCGCTACACTTCTGGAATCTTTGCTCCATACGTGGTCGGTCAAAATCACCACAGATGTAGTTCCCTGAACATTGGTAAACGCGTTGTTAGAATCTTACAACCATAAAGTAGGTTTATTGTTACGTGAAAACTATGGCGCATTTTTAATCACTTTTGTATAATAAAAATCTACTTTTTATTGCACTGTTTTTTGATTCATCAATCAGTTTGCAATGTTTTATTGTACATATTATTTGTCTATTGTTATGTCTTTATGTGTTTTGTAATATTTACACATATGTTTTTAGTATTAACCGCTGGTAGTAAATAGAACTTGGTCCTGAAATATACAGACTCAGTTGCTCACTAGAAGAACATGCAATGACTCGCATACGAGTAAGCCTCCGTCAGTTTCCTCCCGTGTTGTTGCAAAAATCCACTAGCCTATGTCATCATCCACAGGAACACAGCAACAGTGGCAGACGGTGTTCTACATCACTGCCGCCATCATGGTAGGGGCGCCAATCTTCTATCTCATATTTGGCACAGGAGAGCTGCAAAGTTGGGCCACAGAGCTCGATGAAGCCGAGTCCAATAGCTGACTTCGTCGACGAAGAATAAGGCAAGATAGAACTCTTCAACATTTTGGTTTTAGTTTGAGCACATACATGTGCGTGCTTGCCCACGTGTGTGCTCGTTCGCATATAGGCAAGAGCACGTAAACTCTAGGCTTTACGTAACAGTATGGGCGCTATAGTATAGTATATATTGAGAATTTATCTAGAGGGACAGCTTGAAACGTATGGTTATAATGATCTCTTAAAAGCTACTTTACCTACTTGTAGGTGGAACACAAGGAGATGACACAAAGACCAGCAAGCCTGCTGCTGAAAACACCGTTTCAACTAAGATGTAGCCAATGACTTTTCACAGTATATATCTCTTCGTCAAACTCGCGTGTTATCAACGTTAAACATATCTAGATTGGAACATGACATCATAATTTTTCCCCATACTCGTAGACGGCAGAGACGAGATATTTGTCATCGCCCTACATCGTGGCGAATATGCCAACACAGGCATCTGACACGTTAAACTTCTGACACGTTTACATGAGTTTGTAGAATGATATCATTATGCATGGCATCTGATCGGTGTATTCGTCGTAATGCTTGTAAACATGTAAAACTAAAAGTGTAGAGCCTAAGTTTTGTTTCCGTGTTTGTTACTACCTAAGAAAGAAAGAAAGAAAGAAAGAAACTATATCGTTCACAACCAGGCTATGAGGTTATAATAAAAAACGCCATTCTCGGTGCAAGTGTGGTGGTAAAGAATAAATAGACTCAAAGCAAACTGGCTAATGGCCGTTTTGCGCGGCACGTGGTCTGAGCAACACGGGATGCGTGATGTACCTCCATAGCATTCCTTGCCCCTCCAAGATTCGTATATAGACTCTAAAAATATGGCTGCATTAGTATGGGGGGGGGGTGAGCGTTTTGTTTGATTGTTGCATTCTTGACAATTGGCAATCGGCGATTCCTGCGGTTATGTTATATATGCAAACTAAATGCTTTAGTTTAAAATATGTTATTATGTGTTGTTCGACCAGCAAATGTGCTGGTGTTATATTCTTGTATTACGAAGTAGGTGATACCTATAAAAGACGGACTGGTCAGTAATATTCGAGCAGTGGCAGTCTGACTGAATAAATAATGTAGAAAATGTTTCATAAAAGTCAGAAAATAAAGCTGTTTACTCGTGTTCTATGGTATTTTATGTTTGGTGAACAAAGAATCGAAATATTTATAGACAATGTGAAACAGCCGTTTGTTCAGTCGTTTGCGATATCGATGTGCTGCGCTTTTGATCATTTTATGTAAAAAGGCGCAATATAAATATATTAAAAAAAATATATATATATAACAGTCCTAGACAGAATTCGGGAAGATTTGCCAATGTAGCAGGCGGCCAGATTTGTGTGCTGGGCATACGCAATTCCAGTTCTGTTCGCCGGCTGCATGGTCGCGACTTTCCCCTATATTTTGTAATCTGGGTTCGCGCATGCCCAATATATCTGCCGAAAGGACTCACAATTTATGGCCACACGCGTTCGTGTACTTTTCGACGAAAAAGCGCAGATTTATACTCGATTCTTTCACTGTCGATTCGGCTATAGCTCGGATTATAATTATAGCTCGCAGGTCTAATGGTGTTCATCAACGTGCATGCACGAAGCGCTGTTGGGTGGGCGGTATGCCTTGCAATATACACGTTGTCGACGGAGGGAGCGTGATCATTTGAATTTACAAACGTTGGAGGGAAGCACGTGGTCTCTCGAAAAAAATGCACGAAACTCCTCGTGGTGTTTATATATGATCAGTTGAGTTAGTTGTTCCATGCACCGTTCCTGCCAGTTCTGCTGCTACTCCTGCCACAAATACGGAGTCAATCGTGTGACTCGAACGCTTGGTCGCGAACGCTGCACTATTCGGTAAGGAAGCAACACGAAGGCTATACATTTAACGAGTGGTTAGTCTAATTATCAACTGCGCACGTATAACATCGAACGATACATGGCGCGGGCGCGCATAAATCACAACTGATAGACAGACATAAAAGTGGATGTTGACCCGATGACCTCACACACACTGGATGTTGACCCGATGACCTCACACAGAGTGGATGTTGACCCGATGACCTCACACACAGTGGATGTTGACCTGATGACCTCACACAAAGCGAATGTTGACCCGATGACCTCACACAAAGTGGATGTTGACCTGATGACCTCACACAGAGTGGATGTTGAGCCGATGACCTCACATAGAGTGGATGTTGACCCGATGACCTCACACATAGTGGATGTTGACCTGATGACCTCTGTTGACCCGACGACCTGACCCAGAGCTTTGACGACATCGACGCATGCGTGCCCGTCTGTCCGAGCGCGCGCGCTGCTGCGTCCGTTCCTCTACGTTTTCTTCGAGCTGCTGTCCATCGCGATCTGCGCGGCGAGATCGGCGAACTTCGCCGAGTAGTCAATGCTGTTCTCTAGCAGAACAGAGTGCAGCGCGGTGTTGAGCGACGTCTCAACCTGCGGGAGCGGCAAAAACACAACGTCAGTCGCTTGCGAGGGCGATTCTTAGCGCAAGACGCAAGTTTTGCCCTGGGGATTTCTTTTTGATGAAAGATTAATTAAATTAATTTTTCACAATTGAATTAAAGGGCACCACTGCGAGTTGGAGGTGCAGTAAGGCAAAACATTTCTTCCAAAATAAAATCAAAATCAAAGCAAATTCACAGGAAGCAGGAAACCCTTTTTTATCGATGCTTTTTTAATAAGGCACAGGGAGGGAGAATTTTATACACAGCGTGTAACTCGTGGGAAAAAGCGCCGAGGCAAACCAGGTCGGGCAGCCACCGCGGCTTCCTGATTGCTATAACGACCATCGCCACGGCAAGTCGGCAACTAACGCGCCGAGTCGCGTACGAGACTTAGTGAGGCGTGGACTCACCCCGGTGTCTAGTTGGGCGAGACGACTCAGTATGGAGTCTCGCGACGACTCGTTGACGCCGGCTGACATGCCAGCGCCCTGGCTCTTCTCACCGCACTTCTCATCCTCGAGTAGATTGCTGAACGAGTAACGTGCCTCCTGCAACACAGAGCACCAGCTTTAACGAACTATGCAGACCGTGATGCCCAGCGGTGACAGCAAACTATCATCTAACATAGGAAGCGATATTCAGCAGCATGATTAAACTACCCTCCGACACAGTGTGCGATATTCAGCCGTGTTACTACACTACACAAACGAGCGATACACGGCAGAGTAATTGAACTACGTATACGCAGCCTGCATTATGCAGCAGTGCTATTAAACTACAGCACATGCGAGAAAAAGCAGCATTATTAAACTACCCATCTACACAGTCTTTTACCTACACACAGCATTAATTACCTACGCTCCTACACAGCACGAAAAACACACTACTGTTACTTCACTACGCTTCTACAAAGCCGTCTACCCAGCCTTCTACACACAGCACTGTTAATAAACCACGCTCCTACCCCCCCCCCCAACCACACACCCGCCCACACACATCACTCACACTCACACCCACACACATCACTCACACACACCCTGCTATATAAAGCACACACACACCCACACACACCCTGCTATATAAAGCACACACACACCCACACACACACACACACACACCACTCACACCCACACACATTACTCACACACACCCTGCTACATAAAGCAGCGGCCTTTGTGTTTCGCATACACGCATCCGACTCACCTCTCCGGCTAGCCATGGGTGCAGGTCATCGGACCTGTAGAGGCCCTGCGGTAGACTAGCTATGCCAGCATGGCCATTCGGATAGACCTTGATGCTCTCGTCACTGCCCTGGCTCAGGAAACCTACAAGAAGCACGAGAATGCACTGAAATAGCTGTTAGGAAAAGAACTACAATCTGGCACAACCGGCAGACCCTTGACACTTAGTTGGCATACGGATGAAAACCATATATGCATTAAATTACATAAGATATGAACAATCATAATATTTCTTGCATTCACGTTATTGCTCTTGCTATCTGTCTTATTGCAATCGATTAACAATGACACCAGCTACTCTTATGTCACTGAAAAATTCGCTCTCAGGGAGAAGGCAAGGAGAAGGGCAGCAGGAGCTGGAGAACGGGTGTGAGCGTGCATGAGGGAGGGACAGGGAGAGGAAGAAATCGTCACCAACCTGAGAAGGAAGCGTCTCCGAGAGCGTAATCGATGAGTTTCTCCGTCGTGTCCATGCCGGTCGGCATCAAACCTACGATAACGAGATAGAAAACGATAAACAGATAAACGATAACGATAGCAGATAACGAGTGAGGCAGGATCGCCGTCGCGCGCTACACGCGGATGTCGCGCAACACCCTCTAACACCCAGCAAAGCTAGACGACAACGACGTAACATGCACACTCCTATCCCGCCTGCGTCTAAATCAGGGGTTCTCAACCTTTTTTGAGTCATGGAAGACTTTGAGAATCTTGTGAAAGCTACGGACCCTTCCCCAGAAAAATGCGCATAAGCACATAAACACAATAATATTTATGCCCCTGGTTCAAAGGACCCCTAAAGCCCATCCATGGACCACAGGTTAAGAACCTCTGGTCTAAATGGTCACCAGTTGCAAAATAAAGCGAGGGGGGGAATCGCACTTCGGGTCGAAAACGATAGTTAGACAGTATGTCGGTGAGCTTAACTTAACTGTAAACACGACGCGCTTTTAAAGTTACGCCACGAAGAGTGAGCGCAAGGCCTGGTCTACCAAGGACGCTGGTTCTTCCCGAATCTACTGCCACGCAGACTGAGAACGTGACGTAGCGGTGCACATAGTCGCGACGCTCCCCGCGGCGCGTGCGGCTACGCACACACTCACTCACCGTCATTCGACTGCAGCGATATCTCAAACAGGGAAGACATGCTCGGCGGGGAAACGCCGGGCACCTGCGTGTGGTCCTTCATTGGCGAGGCCTGGCGGGGGGAAGCGGAAACGAGAGCTCCTCCACCTAGCATCAGCACGGCGCCGGCCTGCTGTTGAGGAAACAACTGCAGGTTAGCATTGTCGGCGTTCATGCGAGAAAGACGGTGCAACGCGTTTCTTTTAGTTAGTCGTCACTGGTTTCCGAGAAGGCTCCACCCACGGTGGATTTGGCAATCCTACGGGAATCTCACGTACCTGCCGTACGAAGGTGGTGCCCTCTGTGTTGTCAGATTCCGAGCGCAGCGGCGGCGATTTCCCGGACGCGTCGACGACTGCAAACAGGAACGAGACGCTTTTTTCTACTGACGTCGCCCGTCTTTTAATTCCCTCGCACAATTCAGCGATAAACTAGATCGACAAACATTCAGCAAACTTCGCTACCGCAGGTAGGACACACACACACTGTTATTAATCACTCAGCTCTTATCTCCGCATTTACAACAGTCCAACATTTACAGGTCACACACATTATTTTTTTCGTTTTCGCTCTACGCGGAAGAGGAACCTTACCACTGCCATCCATCGCCTGCGCCGTGGTAACCGCTATCGAGAGAATGTCCGATGGCCGCGTCGTCATGGCAACTAAACCTGCTAGAAGGTGCATGCGAGTCAGTGAACGTGACGGGTATCTGGGATTCACGTGGCAGAATCTCAATTGCAGAGATGTGGAGGACGGTTTCCATAAAACCCAAAACATAATAAACGACATTGCACGCTGAACCCCCTCCTCCCCCTACCTTTCGGCATACCCTTCTCCCGTTGGCGTTGCGCGGTGACCCCCTCCCTCCTACTCCTCCCCCTACAGACACACTGCAACCCTTTTCCCTCATCTTTCCTTTCCCTTCCCCCCCGCCACAATAGCTGCTTTCCTTCCCCTCCCCCTACAGATACACTGCACCCCACTCCCCCGCCCACACAATGATCCCTCCCTTCCTTCCCCCCATCTCCCTACAGATACACTGCACCCCACTCCCCCGCCCACACAATGATCCCTCCCTAGCTGTCCCTACCCCGCCGTGGACACCACACACGTACCTGAGGACACGGGTACGGGCGGGAGCGACGACGAGGCGGGCGCGGTGGTGGCGCCGGCGATGCTCACGACCGGCGCCGGCACGATGACGGCGGGCAGCGCGACCCCGCGCGCGACCCCTCGCTGCTGCGGCAGCGGCACGAACGACCCCGTCGCCGACATCGCCGCGTTGTTCGGCACGATCGCCCACGACATCATGTGACGCATCGGCGCCTCGGCCTTCGGCATCAGCGTCCGCTGCGAGCGAGTAGAAGAGACAATGTCAGCAATGTGACGCGGCGACGGACGATCGGGGCAACCGCGAGGATGGCGACCGTCGTAGCAAACCGATCATGCATATCGCGGCAGGAATAGGACCAGCTATACGTCGCATTTCTCGCGACGTCGCCAGAAAAATGATTTGTTTGTCTTAACAGCTGCAAAATCATCGAGTGATTTGTGGTGACGGCAGCAAAATTTATTGTTTTGTCGTGACGCGGACAAAGCGTATGGTGTATTTTGTGGACATGTGTGAAGAAGAGGCCTGGACAGCCTCTACGGGGCAAAGCTCAACTGAGTTTCCCCACGTGGATTTAGCTTGCTGGTTGGATGTTGCCATTGTATATATAACTAGAGCACTCGGAGAGAACAGACCTCAGCCAAGGCAGCTCAATTCTGTCACTGTAAAAAATTTAATTAATTAATTGGATCCAGATCACGACCAAAATGTAATAAATTCTAAGTTACCCCATTTTTGACCTATGCTGAAAATGTTATTAATTAATTAATTAATTAAATTAATTAATTGGATCCGGATCACCACCAAAATGTAATCAATTCTAAGTTACCCCATTTCTGAGCTATCCTGAAAATGTTATTAATTAATTAATTAATTGGATCCGAATCACCAGCAAAATCTCATCAATTCTAAGTTAGCCCATTTCTGACCTATCCTGAAAATTTTATGACAATCCGTCCATAACTTTTCCAGTTAGGCTGTACACAAACAAACCCACAAACCAACAAACACACGCCGAACAAACACACACCGGTGAAAACATAACCTCCTGCCAACCCCTTGGCGGAGGTAACAAACAGATATTGATATTCAGCCATCCTAAATTCAGTACAAGGCAGCTACGGCAACCATTTAAAAAAAATAACAGTTAGGCAATCGCCTCTGATCTCTGACATGGGTGGTAGAACTCCCTTGCCCGCTGTTACAGACACTATTCGAACTACGACTTTCGAGACTACCGCTAAGACCGACTCTCCGTTGCAGACGACCCCCACAGATGGCAGCACGCCTACCTGCACGACCTGCACGCGTGACGGCTTCCGCTGGCCCATCTTCGTCACGTTGCGACTGCGCTTGCCGAGCAGGCCTAGCTGCTCCATGAACGCCTGACTCTGCCTCGGCGGCGGTGCGTCCGGCCCCGGCGCGACGACGCGCGGCGCCGCGCGCTGCCGGCTGCTGTTAGGCGGCGCCACCGTCGGCACGGCGAACACCGGCTGCTCGGGCGGGGCGACGGCGAGGAGCGACGGCGGTGGCGGCGCGGCGACGGCCGGCATGGCGGGCTGCGGCAGCGTGTCGGCGACGTCGGCGGCGGCGACCCTCACGGCGACGACGCCAGCCTGACGACTGCTCTTCGGCGTGATGGGGCTCTGCATGCGCACAGCGCCGGCCCGGGGGGTGGACGAGCGGGGCGTGGCGGGGCTGCGCGCCCCCGGGGTGCGGCTCGAGGGTGGGGTTGCGGCCTGGCTCAGCGGGAGGGCACCGCAACGGCACGGCGATGCCGAGTTGCCTCCGACCTGCTGCAACTGCGAAGGAGACCGCAAAGTGAGGAGTAATATTAGCAGACTTTCTCTGTGTGCGCACACGCTCTCTCTCTCGCTCTATCTATATATATCCCTTCTCCTCTCTCTTTCACGCACGTGTGCACGCACGCACATACTCACGCATTATACACACACGCTTTCTCCCCCTGCTCTCTCTCTCTCTTGCTCACACACTCTGTCTCTCTCTCTCTAGCTCACACACTCTGTATCTGTCTCTCTCTCTCTCTCTCTCTCTCGCTAACACACTGTCTCTCACCCTCATTCCTCTGCAAACAAACACACACACACACAATGAACTAACAGTTCCTCCATAGGGTCTGGTCTTGCATACGTGCCCAGGATGGACAGGCTATGATAACTTTGCGCGCATGCGACGTCCCGGAGTCGCGCGCCGACTCACCTGCTTCTGCTTGGCAACTGAGAACTCGGTGCCGGCGAGTAGGAGGAGTTTCTCGAGTGCCTGGATGAGTCGCTTGGCAGACGCCGTCGCCGCGTTGTCGGGGCTCACCCACTCGTACTCCAGCACTATCACCTCAGGACTGTTCAGCTGCGAAAAAGAGGAGGAGTGACGCGATGCACGGATCGCTACGGCTGACAACGCGCGACTATGCCTTGCACGACGATGTTGCGCAGTACACTGATTCAATGCCGGCGTAGCCGTTCATGAATACTGAGCAATTGAACTATCACCTCCGGACTGTTCAGCTGCGAAAAAGGCGGCGTGAGCAGGGTGTTAGCCAGGTAAAAAATCAGGGAGTCTCACCTTCTGAGCAAAGCGAGGATGCTGCAGGCGCAATAAGAGGGAGGGCCTTACCTTAAAATGAAGGAAATTTAGTCTGAAATGCCAAAAAAGACAGGACTCTGATATGATTTTATATTCTTATAAGCACTGTTGTCAGTTATACAAGGTGTATAATATATAAAATTGGGCCGCCCTCATGCCGTGTCTATCAAATTTCATCCGTCTCATCCAAGAATAGGCCGTCCAAAAGACGGGTAGACGGGTCTCTGGCTAACACACTGGATGCAAGTGACGCAATACACGGATCGCTACGGTTGAGAACGTGCGACTATGGGTTGCACGACAATGCTGTGCAGGACACGGATTCAATGCCGCCGGTTCATGAATCGCGAGCAATTGTACGTTAATCTTACTGTAATCACTCGGATATAACATCTCTGTTCACGTATGTATCGGCGTGGATGCATACTCGAAAACATTCACGTATAAAAAATTCTTATAAGCTTTCACAGCCTGTAGACAATGAGGTGATATCGCGACTGCATCTGACACACGCGTAAATGGGTTCACTATACATTTCTAGTAACATTTCTGTGCGGACTCAAAGGCACGCACACGATGAAACTAGTCTGACGCCCGATTCGAAAGCCGCGAATGCTCACCATGAGGTAGAGTTCGCCGATGGTGAGTTTGCCGGCGTCTGCGGCGGTCCAGCCCTGCCGGATGCGCTCCTCACTCATCAACACCTGCCGCTGCTGCGCGTTCCTCCCCCGCCTCCTCTTCGCGCGCACGTCCGCCTTCTCCCGCTCCTCCTCCTGCTGCCCCTCCTCGCTCTCACTGCTGCTCTCTCGCAGCTTCTCCTCCTCCACCTCCGACTTGTACGACCTCTGCGGCTCGGGGAGCACGCCGGCGAGGAGGCCTTCCTTTCCCTTATCTCCCTCGTCCGACGACACCGCATCCACCTGACCGCCGCCAGCATCCTCCGACAGCGTCCGCTGGTACACCGTCTCCGTGACGACGGACCGCCGCACTCCATCTGCAGCATCCGGCCGCGACTCGCCCTCCCGCCGGCAGGATGACGTCGTTTCCGCGGCAACCGGCTGCGCTCCCCGCTCGCCGGACGTCTCCGCGGCGACGGCGACATCCCCCCCGTCGCTCGCAGTCGCGCGCGCGTCGCAGCCCGGCTTCCCGCTCTCCCCGCCGGGTTGCGCGCGACTCGTCCTCGCCTCCGCGGCATCGGCGACAGCGACAGCCTCCTGGTCGCACCTGCCGCTGCCGTCCCTGCACACGTCCTGCTCGGGTTTGCCGCGCAGCACCTTGCGCCGGTAGCTGGTCAGCGTGACGTCGCGCGTCGTGTGCTGCTCGTACGGCTCGACGCTCAGCGCGGACATGCGGAGGTCGCGCGGCGGCTTCAGACGGATCACCTTGTCGTTGTCGGGCGCCGAGTCGCCGAGCTGCTTTCTCTGTGAAGAGCAGACGTGACGAGAGGGGTGAGGTAGCCGAGGGAGAGGGGGAGGGACTCAAGCGAGAGGTTCGATTCGCTACTACCCAGCCGTCGATCGCAAATGTAGTACGATTCGATAACGGACTGCGCCAAAAACGCTTTGTGAGAGGTTCTTCGAGAGTATTTCTAGAGATGCCATAAATCATAGATTTTTCCCCTTTTTTTTTATCAACAATACGACTTCTTACATTACTTCCACAGCACGATTACCATTCGATTGGCTCTCCCATCCAACCTCCCTCCCACCCCAACCTCCTCTTCCTCCCACACCTCCCTCCAACCCCACCTCCTTTTCCTCCCACACCTCCCTCTTACCCCACCTCCTACTTTCTCCCATATCCATTTCCCACTCTCGCCTCCCCCCCCCCCGCACCTTCAAACAATGCTCACCAGCTTGGAGTAAGGCGACCGCCACTTGTTCTGCAGGAACGTCGTGAGGGCGCTCAGGCGTTTCTGCGCGGCGACGGTGATGCGGGCGCACGGGTTCTGCGCGAGGGCGTGCACGCGCGAGAACGCGGCGTTGTCGTGCGGTCGCAGCGTCACGACGATGCCGCTGGGAAGACGCGGTGGCTCCTCCTCCTTCGGCTCTGCGGACGTGCACAAACAACAGTTACGGCCGCACGGAAGGCCTAAAAAAAGACGTTTGTTTCCGCTGACCAGACCGAGTCCATTTTAAACTGCCGTGTTGAAACTTTTTATTGTGATCGGCAAAAAAAATTACAAAATATATATTTTAAACATATTTTTTTTAAATAAATCCCAACGTGATATCGATCGGTGAATGCATTGATTTGACTTTGAAGTCATTATATGGGCTATTATAAGTATAAAACAAGTATTGTTAAAATACAAAAAAAAGTTTTGCCTGCCTACCCTGTCCAATTTTTTTCCAGCTCGTTAGCGGAAACAAACGTCTTTTTTTAGGCCTAAACAACAGTTACGGACACGCACAAACAACAGTTACGGATGCGCACAAACAATAGTTACGGACGCGCACAAACAACGGTTACGGACGTGCACAAGCAACAGTTACAGACACGCACAAACAACAGTTACGGATGCGCACAAACAATAGTTACGGACGCGCACAAACAACGGTTACGGACGTGCACAAGCAACAGTTACGGACACGCACAAACAAGTTTACGGACACGCACAAACAACAGTTACGGACGCGCACAAACAACAGTTACGGCCGCACGTAAACAACAGTTTTCCCGGCCCCATCAAATTTTGAGATTCTGAGAATCGAAAACGAAAGTTTTCTCAGACGACAAAGCCTGAGTTATAGATGCTCACCAGCAAGAGATATGTAAGCGCACAACAGTTACTCACACGCACAGACAAGAGCTAGGGATGCATGGAAAACATGTCTTATGGATTTTTACAAACAACAGTCACGAACATGTACAAACAAGAGTATGACAAGTTGTATGAACGTACAATAACAACAGTTACGGACAAGTACAAGCAAGAGTTATGGGCCTGCGATAACAAAAGTTATGGATGCGATAACAACAGATATGGACGTGTGCAAACAAGAGATAGCTACGCACGATAACAGAAGCTACGATACGATTGCTTCTAATGGAACCAAGCCCTCGTGGTGCGATTCTCACAAAACGGAACGCTCAGCTTCCATGGCGTCATCACGCAGACCCGGCTTATACATATACACACATTTTTCAGTCGTAAATTTGTAAATACCGTCGATGTTGTTGAGTTTCTTCAGAGCGCGACAGAGCGGCGTCTTTATCCGTATGTTCTTCGCACCGTTCTTTCCCTTCACTTTCATGCGAACCGTCGTCACGCTAAGGAACAAGAACGCCGGCTTAAGATGAGAGTCGGTCGCACACACAGCCACACATCAAAAGTCATCGTGTGGAAAGACATAGCATGAAGTGATAATACAGATACGATACATTTCGTAGATTTGTCTTCGCTTCACTGTTTTGCTGCCGGCAATGTCAATAGCTTACATATGCACTGCAACAATCTTATCCATGTTTGTGGGAATAGAATGCAATACTTACCCTTTGTTAATAAGATCCTGCAATTTCTGTGCATTCTTCTCTGTAAGCCCTGAACAAGAATTAAAATTGCGATGCCATCAAACATAACTATAAATAATGATTACGCATCACAACAGTCACTTGTTCTTAAGAATATAAAACATGGATGTAATCGCAATTTTGCACATCCAGTACATTTTTTACGTGCAAGCAATCTTCTTTGTCCTCCTCCTCAGTCTACTCTCCATCCCTCCATATCCTCCTTTATCTCTGCCATTCTTCCTCTCCTTCTCCCTCAAAGGGAGTAAAGTCATACTTACTGCCTCCCACCTTTCTACGCAACACTCCGTAGTTGATCAGTGCATACAACTCCTGCGTCTGCTTCTTTATGTCTAACAAAACAACAAAGAAATCATAGTCAGGGAGCAGCAAATAGAATTCCAAAAAATCCATAAAGAATCAGAAAAAGATTCAGAATCATTGGCTATAGCAAGCAAACTCACCATCTCCAAAGTCTAGATGCTTGGATATCTTATGCCATTCCCTATAGTAGAACCCCCGCACTTGGTCCTTGTCCTTTGGAGGGACGGGTGGATCACCGCCACGCTTCTTGTGTTTTGACGCTATGTAGTTCTGAATAGCGTCAAAATCTTTGCCGTGCTGCAGAGGAAACGACTGCACTTTTACCAGCCTGTGGTGGGCCTAACTATGAATGCTGCCATGTGATATTCCCTCTCATATCAGATATGCCCCTGCTAGTGCTAATAATGTCTACATTTTGCACGATGCTAGACGTGGATCAATTACCCAGGGAAAAATTATAGTTAGCTTGGCACTGACTACACCATGTGTGATATATTGTTACATTACATAACTATTCACAATGCATCTTAGCAGTGTTTTAACGTCGTGGTAACAACGTCGTTGTTATTAATTGAAACTACGTACACTGTATGCGTATGCATTCTGCTACAATATTGACTGGTATTGCGTACCTCATACAAAGCCTCGAAGAATGTGTTCTTATCATCCGAGGTCCATAGTTCCCAGGATCGTCTTGCTTTAACCTCTGGTGTTCCAGTTGGTACCGGCTGAGAACTAGTCTTAGCTACATAAGCAAAAAAAACGTGTGTAAACATTATTTACGATCTTCATTGTACAGACTATATATATAGTGCTACCTCGATAAATCACACTCAGAAGTATAATCACAAATAAATGCAGAATTACACGGCAACTTCGAGTAGGAAGAAATATGCCATGTATCTAGCTTTTCGCTGCTCACTGGTGCTTTCCAATAGCTACCTAGTGCAGATGCAGAGGTAGTATGTGTTATATTGCACCAAAAACACAATATATGTGCACACCGAAAATAAACATATAAAGACAGAACACCCACACAAACATACACTTCAGCTCAGAATACATCCAAGAAAGCCTGAGTCACAAAAACCGAGTTAACCACACATGCTAATCCTGTTACATGGTGACATTAACAAGAAGACTTAAACTCAAAAGAAATACACAACTAATGACTGAGCAAAACCAAAACTCGAATCACGCGCGGTAGCGTCGGGAATTGACGAAGAATATAGCAAATGTAAAAGCTTATATGCACTATTCACATCATTAGTTATCACACTGTGTCATTACATTCACAATTATCATGCGTCCATCTAATAAAACCCAACAAATGTGGTTACTGGATTTTTTGGCGGGTGGTGCCGATGGGGGCGTCGAATCCCGTTTTCGTCTTGCCGTTCTTCCACTTGATCGGATGGACAAAGTGACGGGTGGTGGTGATGTCTCAATAGGCAGCTTGCTCCCCACCTGCTTTGACCGAGTATCATGGCTGTGAGGATTGTTTCCTCCTTCTGCATTGATCATTGTTGCTACTGACACAGGAGCAAGTTCTACGAGCTTCCCCATGGATGTGGCTTCCTCTTCACAACTGCAACAGAGATTTGAGGAATTTAGAATTTATACTAGAAAATATGGCATGTTTATTAACGGCTGGGAGCACAGGATTGGTCGATTGTGTCCACGGTAGTAGCGATGGTTCAAGGATAGAGAACATGGGTCCCAATAAAACCAATGTCATTTACATCAATATAAATATAATATTATATCAATATAATAGGTTAGGGTTATGGTTAGGGTTAGGGTTAGGGTTAGGCACATTGATTTTATTGGGACCCATGCTCTCTATCCTTGGGCCGTAGCGATTTCGATCAGTAACATTTTGTCACTAGCCCTCTGCCTCGTCTGTGTTTATGAAATGAGCAAATCACTTTATGTGCGGTTATCTTAATATGCTCGACTTTTCCTGATTTATATCAAGAAGTCATTAAATGATATGGCTAAAAGCGCAATGTTACAGAAGGTACAGTACGTGGAAAACATTTTACGGGTTTGAACATTGGAAATAACAAAGATGGCGGGGACGGTACTGAAGGAAAGGAAGCCGAGAGCAATGATTTTCATAGCCATCAAATTACCAGTTTTGGCATTCTTGTGCCCTTTCTTCTTCAATTGAGACGGTCCTCTTGCGCTTTACCATTTGCCTGACGCCGATGCAAACTTACGTGACTGCAAAAGTTCGCCTTGCGCGTAAATAATTCATTCACACGGAAAGGTAAACAATCACCTACACGGAATCAAAGTTGTCATCGGGGGAAGTTCGCGCGTCAGTATCGCAACGCCCTCTGGTAGCTAGTTTTTAGAAACGCGCAAAATATGTTGGCTTTGACCCATGTCCCCAATAATCTCCCTTATAATTGCACAAGCAGAGAAATTTATTTACAATTTCGTAGCTCGACTTCCAGAGTAATTAAAAATATCCTTCACACTGATGCAGCTAATAGATGCTTACAATATAAACAGTACATTCACTGTAGAAGGTTTAGCTATCTATTAATACAATAATTCAAGTTCAAGTTCAAGTTCAAGTAAAATTTATTTTCATCGGTATATAAATAATGAACATTATTAACATATTAAGCTAAGAGCTTATAATAATAATAGCATGTATAAGGATAACAATGCACAACATTGCAAAAAACACGAAATAACAGTGATTAATTTAGTTTATTAGTAATTAACACAACAACAGTTGTATTGTATACTACTACACAGAATGAGATACCACGCTTATAACAATATTAAATACGCAATTTAAACTTTAAATAACAATCTATTGATTTACCGGTGTGGTATAAACACAAAATTGTACGGCTCTTCTGATTACAGGATTTCACTAACGTCACAAAATCAGGGGAAAAAAATCAAGTCCTACTCGATTCTTATAAAAAAAACTATTGCCTGATTTTTCAATAGGAACACCAAGTGTTGTCAAATAAGTGTTTACATAGAAAATTTTAACAGCATGATTGATCAACGCGATCCGCGAATTTACCATTCGTTGTAACGCAACTTAGACGGTTACAAATATATTTTAAATGAATAACAAGCAACTGTGGTATATAGTGTAAATGTATGTGTACATAATTATTACTAGCATGTCCAACAGATCTTATTTCATCACGGCATGATTAGGACAGTTCTTGAGGTCTAACACCCTCTGACAACAACGCTCTAACACGATATTAAGATTGCAGGTTACCATCACTGTCAACAACAAATCTAGGTTTCTTACGCAGAGTATACACTACTAACTACACACACTTACACTTCAAAAGTGCGAACACCTACAAACATCAGCTACTATGTTGAAGGCGACTAGTTGCTCTAATGTTCTAGCATAGTGCTATTTTTTAGATTGCGTGACTAGAAGCAGCTTTTACTATTTCTCACTGCTACTCTCACCTGGTAGTGAAGATTTTCTAAATCGATGTACTTGCAGTAAACCACCTGCTGAACAGATTACTATAAAACTAACAGAGCAAACGATGACAAGGAGCAAGTGCCTGCGGATACACTCGCTCCATTACTGGCCACCTACTGACTGACGAATGCAGCTATTATTACATCCCGCAAAATGCAGTGAAACAGTTCGAGAATTTACGCAGACACGTTAACTGCTCTTCATTTTCAGACATTCCAATAGATGAAAATGACCATCTGAATCAACAAACCGTTGTCTGTACAGCCAAACTCTCTACTATAGATGTTCATGATACATGACTATAACGATCAGTCTACTGCTGCAGTATCCAATCACCATATGGTGGATGCGACGAAGATGATTAAGTCATTGAAATAAAATATGAGATTTATCAAAAATTAACTAGAAAAAAACACAATAGCAGATTAGCTCTGATTAAAGTGATTACGTCACGAATTTCTAGCACCATCAAGTAGTATATTTGTGTGTTATTTGTACAAAATAAAATGTATGAAAATACAATTAGTGTTTCTGATTACTTTTCATGCTTATATACCTTCTTTATATGCCCTAATTTGCCGATGAAAACCGAGAGACGCCAGTATCTGAACAGTACTGGGGGAATAGTGTTAGACAACAGAAATTCAAATCGTCTAGATTTTTGCAAATTTAACCAACGTAAAAACATTTTTATCAGGTGAGAGTTTGAGGATATATTTAGTAACGTTAGTTCTTACTTTTAATGTAAAAAAATGGCAATTTTGTTTATACAAATTTTACCAAGAAAATTCGTGACGTAGACAATTTAAATGGTAGATCATGGATCCTGAATCGTCAGCTCAACCTCTATGACATGCCCTTCTCACACGGACAACATGATAGTTACAACCCGTACCTACCATTATACGACAGTCGACATTGAGCAGAACACGCCACATAACATTAATGGCTTAATATAGTAATACAAGCTTGCGAAACACTCACTCTTACTCAAAACTTTGTCGTTCAATTCCATGAAAGATGCTATAGCTAATCAGTGGGGAAATCACTACGTGCTTTCTTCTCCAACATGAATGTGACATACGCTCTATCCACCGTCAAAAGAAAAACCTTTTGTTATGTTAAAAGCAACTGTCTCCCTCATTCCCATCAGCTTCAGCAAGATTTCGACAGATGTACGCAGTCGTTCGCTTGCACTTTTGAGCACCTATTCAGCCCGGTAGTAGCCGAAGGTCGTTCTAAGCTGCTCGAAGAATATGAAGGTAAGGATCGTCTGTGGAGCAAGTCTGACGAATGCCGGGATGTAGCCCTGCAACAGAATTTGTTTTTTAAAATGGCATTACCTATTACATTGCTGCGCAGAACACGACAGGCAAAATCGGTGCACATAAACATGGACAAAAGTGCCGTCAGCCATAGATGTGGCACCGATGTAGCATATTAAAACCTCAAGCAAGAAACTAGTGTCACCAGCAAACAACTGCCAAACAATGCAATTTTGTCGCAACATATGTTGGAAAAGAGGATTATTGCTGACAGCCATAAACACTGTCAGTCACACGCTTTAATAAACATTGACACAACATGACCATGATCTGTTATCATTGATATTGATAGTCGTCGAATAACACTGGAGTATCACTGTGTTACGATTCAGATGAAATGTCAGCAGCATCTTAATAGTGAAGTGCAAAAGAGATCGTACCTTGTAGAATGCTAGTGGTCCCTGCTTTGCGGTCACAGCTATACAGTGGAACACACTCTGCAAATGTAAGATGTTCGCATACAACACAGTGCCAAGAGAATGCCATCACTTTGGGTATTTGAGCAGTAATGCTTTGAACAGCGGAACCTATATGTGTTCAGCCTTAATCACCTCACTGTTGTGATTGTAAGAATGCGGTACATACCCGATACTCTCCTGGTTTAGCACTCATCACACGAGTCTTTAACACATCTAGAGGCTGAGTGATCGTTGTGGCAGCCAGGCCCTGCATTAACAACCCAAAGCAGGTAGTGAGAAACCATATGCAGCAAGATTTGCAAAACAAGCATCATCAAAGATGTGGGATTGTCAAATTAGGATATTGCGTAGAAAACACGTAGACTATAATAATTTGTATTTCCATATAGAAAGATACGTATGATCGTGTTCCTGCCTATGTTGTTACTAGTCAAATTAATGTACAAACACTTTATTTTTATGTTATGTTCAAGAACTTCCAATACGTTTTTAAAAGTTAAATTGCCTATTTTACATCTTCGAAAGCACTATCAGGGAGAGGTTCTGGAATGTATTTGTCCTGATAGTATCTAATGTTAATGCCAAAAAACAACAAAAACCTTTAACTTGTGATTTTTAGTTTGCACATTAAATTCCAAACACGTGTTTTTCTCATATATAGAGCATACCACACATTTACTAATACGTGATTGCTAAGATAAGAAATGAAAGTGTCAATGACACTATAGCTCACCTTGGGTGTGATAGAACAGAAGAGGGAGATGATATTTAAAATTTGGTAAGTGTTTCATTTATGATGGACCAAAATGTGATCAAATGTCCTTATTCCCTGTTTTATACTAATAGAAATTTCACTGTTTTGTTTCAAGGTTAGTTTTGATGCGAAAATAAATGTTTCAGATCTGAAAGTCTGAAATCTGGGCGAGAGATGGCGCTACGCCTAAATGGTCACCATTTTGGTTTTGGATTATCGCGCAAATAAAAGCAATAAAATATTCCAGTCAAATTACTGTAAGTATGATTAGGTAGGTAGGTAGGTAGGTAGGTAGGTAGGTAGGTAAATTTAACAAAATCGAATGAATCTAGATGGCCATTTTCTGTTTTGCCAAAAAGTCAGCGTGGCTCGAAAGTAGGATGACTGGCATGCTCCAAAATAGGACGTTCAAATCCCTCCCATAGGAGTAACAACTGTATGCAGTTTGAAACATGTGGGTCAAACGGTTCTTGAGTTATTGTTGACCGTAGGCAGACTATGAAGTGCATAGTAAAATTGGCAAAATCTACCTACTTTGCATAATTAAAAACAAATATTAAACCCCGTGTGATGTTTTGGGGCCAGTCCTTATTCATTCACATACCAAAAATGAGCAATATTCGTTGAACCTGAACCGACTTATGGCCATTTCCATTTTTGCCAAAAAGTGGGCGTGGCTCAAAAGTAGGTCAACTGGCGTGCTCCAAAATAGGACGTTCACATCTCTCCCATAGAAGTAACAACTATATGCAATTTGAAACAGGTGGGTCAAATGGTTCTTAAGTTATCGTTGACCGTAGCCAAATGTTGACGGACGGACGGACGGACGGACAGACGACGGAAGACACCCCATGGCAATAGCTCATCTTGACGATGTCAATGTGAGCTAAAAACCACGTAAAATCACCAATATCAGTCAAAATCATGCCACCGTAACAAACTCACAGCAAGAAGACTGGAAACAAAGTGTGCTCCAATGTTGTCGTTCATGTATTTCTCTCCGACCAAAACCTGCTTGATCTGGTCATAAAATGCAATCTGTGGACAGATAAAAATATTCAGCAATGAAATTGTTCTTTACGTTTTATAATACTAATGTTAGGAAATGAAGAGAAAAACCCAAAAAATTCCCAAGAGAGAAGCAATGTATCTCAAACATTCTATATGTATTGTGAGTGTAACCCAACACATGACTGACTAAACTAACTATCTGAACATACAAGAAAGTGCAATCACTAGCTAAGAAAAGCAGTGCACAATACTGTGTTATAATAAATGCAAATTACAAGTAAAGTAAAAACAGTGAAGGTTGCCTGCCCCTTTAGTAAGCATTACGCCAAAACTCAGGGGACCAAATCCAAAATGAAATTTTCTTTACTCCTTCTCTGTCTTTTTTCTTTCTCACTCTCACTCTCGGTCTCGCTCTCTCGTTCTCGCCCTTGGCCTCAGCCTCGCTCTTCGCTCTCTTTCCATCTCGCTGTCTCATACACACATCTCTCTCCCTTTCCATCTTGGTATCTATCATTCTTCCTATCTCCCTTCTTTCACTACTCCTCCGATCTCTTGCCCATTTGCCATGTTGTTATCTGTGTCATGCAAGGTAAAGGCACTTACCTGACCAACAGTCATCAGGACAGCCCTCGATGTGGCCATTGATGCACCCGAAAATAGACTGGTGAAACCTTCCTCGCAGTAAACTCGCCATACTCCATCTAAAGCATGCTTGTAACTGTTGACAAAAACCATCGGTGTAGCCAGGTTAAAATTATTGAAACAATTGAATTATTGAAAACACAACAGTGTATGTGCAGACACTGTAGAAGAGTAATACTGCCTGTAAAACTAACCTAGATATATCTGTAAAAACTCGCAGGCAGATGTTTTACTTATCAGTCAGCAGTGCAATAAGATTAATTTACATAATAACAAGTTCATTAAAATACTAACTTTCTCCTTAGTGCTTTTTCTATTTTCATGTCATTTTGCATTCTGAAAGAGAAAAAGGGTGCATTAATACAGTTAATAACACATTTTATGCCAGACCATATAAAAAAACACAATAAACAGTGTTTATTGGTAGAAATCAAGATCTGTCTTTTTCCGAACACAGGATGAGCCTATATAGACGTATTCACTCTCACTTTAACAGATCATTTGCCAAATTTTTTTTCTCAATATATATTGTTCAATATATATTGTTAATATATATATATATATTATTCTCAATATAATATGTTGTTTCCAAAGACCAAACAAAATCTGATAAACTTTAATCATAAAGTCAGGTTACTTTAAACTGATTGTATAAATGTGTAAATTGTGCCTACCAAAAATCAAACGCGTTTTACTAGCTGGGTGACTGTAAACTTCGACCGTCACATAAAGACAATTAGGTCTCGCTGAAGAAATCTATACTAGATGCCCAGAACTCATAACGCAGACAAACCTGTGGCATCTGCCACTCACCTAACGTTGACCATATCACCTGGAGTGCCTACAAAGCCACCCATGGCTCCAGCCGTTCCTGCTATCAATATCTTCATGTAGAACGGCAAGGGCTTTGTTTTGTCGTCCTGTGAGTTGATCCACGTCTGTTTTGCGACTTCATAAACACCAAAGCGTGTTGTGGAGTACGTGAGCTGAAAATGGAGAATTCGCTGTCAGACCAAAAACCTGCAAACTCTTTGCATATTAAAAATGCAGCATCAACATCATGTATTTGTGCTACCACAGTGCCAACACGGAAAGGCACCTCATTCGTCAATGTTTTCAAAATAACCAAGTGCTTTTAATGATGATAGCTAATTGCAAGTTATGAAATTGTGCCCTAAAATCACATCAACAAGGTTACAATGGTGTAAATTCATGTGCTTTATCATTTTCATTTCAGAGAAGATTACTTTTATTTGAGGAACTTCCGCGTGACAGAGCTCCATGTGTTATACCTGCCGCAACAATGAAGCTGTCAGGCCATTGTAGAGGCCACGGACCCCCTCGTTCTTTACGACCTTGACTGCCATCCCAGTAAGAGTAACTTTGCCCTGATGAGGAGTCTGAAGATGAACCTTTAGAAAACAAACAGATTGCAGATTATAGGGGCGTGCATTTCACAACTTTTTGCTACTAAGACTAAATCAATGCACCAATGATTCCAAGTAATAAACGAATGCTCGCAGACGAGTATGCACCTGAGAAGGGAATGAATTTATAGGAAGGGATCTGGAGATCACAGGCTTTTCATTGACGATTCTGCTCTGCATCGCTGAAGTTTACTCTATGTCACCGATGTGAGGTCAGTACATTTTCATTGGATTAACTGCAGTGATTCTGACTAAGATTAGTGCCTACAAAGAAAAAACATCAAAACTATGTACAAAGGTGAAACTACCGAAACGATATAATTAACTTTATTAAACAATCATTTCAAGTGACAGTTGACTCTTTTACCAAACATTTGACACATTAATAAACTCTAGCTAAACTAACCGCATGCCTTATAGCTATCTTGGGACTACTTGATAAAGATTTGTTGGATTGTATTCCTGAGGTGTTATTAATGTAGAAACCATAAATTGTCATTAAATAATTTTAGTCCAACCATTGCTGCAGGTAAGCATGCGATTTGCAGAAAAATGTATACAAGGGTCGAAATAAGCGACTGAAAAATCGGGGCCATCAAATAATCAGGAGGTGTGGACCATCTCTTTTTTCTCCTTATTTCTACTCCTGTTATATATTGCTACATTTTTTCATATGGGAATCTGTATAAATGATCAAGATATAATTTAAAATCCACCCTCGAAATTCAATACGATGAACACGTATTGATTAAAAGGCACGTTGTATACAATGTTGCTTCGCTGATTGACAATCATATATATATTAAGTCAGAGCACCTACTTTTGGAAGTTATTTTTAGATTTAGGGCAGATGTACCTTAAGCAGGTCCAGAGGATGAGTGCAGCATGCTGCACCTGCACTTGCACCTCCGCCAAAGTACCATCGTGCTACCTTGTCCTCCTTCCTTCTCACTACCGGTACCACCTTTGCTGAAGCTTCCTGAAAAGGGCAAGTGCACTCCACTTGTTAATTAGAGAAATTTTACATACTGACTGATTGCTGTATCCCCATAACCTCATAAGATTAATTATAATATAACTCATATACAACAATATTTAATATTTAATATTATATGTTATTAATATTAAAGCCATTATTTCGAAACAAATTTCCAACCAGTCTCGTGTTTTCCCCAATTATGTGATACTATGTGTATAATTGCTCTATTATGCTTACCGTTATTACATGAGTAACAGCAACTGTCTAGAGTAACGCTAACATGTCTTAGAACCTTCGTACTAGGCTATTATCACTAAAACATGCACGATTTGAGTTTTGACTACTGCCGCCATTTCTTGCGAATCACGAACTATTTCGCAATTGCGTGAGATATCGGCCAATTTAAAAATAGAAATCGAGTAAACTACACAGAATCATGTGCATTTTTGTTTGAATTAGGTGCACTAATGGTGCACTTGTAACTTGTTGGTGCACCAAGGTGCAATTTGCAAATTAATTCCCGCTATAATAAAATATTATGCATTAGGTGTTACGGCACGTTCAATTCAAATTTTCTAGGCTATAACAGCATGAATTTTGAGTGTTTTCCAAGTTGGTGCAATCAGTAATATATCCGCTATGAGGTGAGACTATACTTTGCTATATTTATTCACTATATTAAAATCCTACTGCTTCAGCAATTTTAACTACTGCCCCGCCGTTTGGCTCTGCACTACACAGGAAAACATTAACAAACTCGAACAAATACAGAGAAGAGCACTCTGCTTTGTCGTTGGTCATGGCTACCACACCTACGAAGATCTTCTAGACCACACCAATCTTTCTAGCTTAGGACTGGGGCAAGGTAGGACCATCGCTACAGAAGTGTACAAAGATAATACATGGGCAAAGCCCAACCTATACAAAGACTCTTTTCAAATACTCATGCACACCTTACAATCTTCCAAATAAAAACTGTCTCGCTCTTCCCGACTACAGATCAATAGCTCATAGAAAGAAATCGTTTCGGTATCATGACGCTTGGCTATGCCGCTATGGAATAAACTATCCCCAACATCCGTCAGACTAGAGAACTCAAAACCTTTAAAAGGCTCCCAAGGTCGTGGTCAGGTAAATCATGAGGATGTGAGATGTGCGCTGTGGCCATATCAATATCCTGATTGAATGTGTGCTCGCTGTATGAAAACACTTATTCCAGCCAAATTGCTTACAATTTTTTTGGTCCACCTTAAACCCTGCCTTTATCTTCGTGTGTTGCACGCATGATATGGTTGTTGACCACAGCAACGTATTTCCTCAGTACAATTTTTGTTTTAATCGACTCATAGTTTTAGCATCCTTGTGTGGTCATTCTTTTTATGTGTTAGTATTCGTGTGTTCTCGACTCTCATATGTGTACGTCAGTTGCCTTTCCTAGTTGCTATGGTTTTTATGTTTAGTGTCGCCTTGTACAGCCTAATGTTATTATGATATGGTGTACGTGATTTAGTTTTAGTAAAGGTACATACACTTAAACAGTCTACGTCACGAATTTCTAGCACCAGCAAGTAGTATATTTGTGTGTTATTTGTACAAAATAAAATGTATGAAAATACAATTAGTGTTTCTGTTTACTTTTCATGCTTATATACCTTCTTTATACTCCCTAATTTGCCGGTGCATTCGATGTAAACAAACGCTCGACGAAAACACAACCGCCATTAATTCGAAACTGTTGCGTGGCGCCCAGACGCAGCTAGCCGATATAGCGAACATCTGCGGTAAACGAGGCATTGGCAAAATTATTGTGGCAACCATGGAAATTCCTTGTAAACTTAAGCGGGAGTTTCTCATATAATCTTCTTTCTGTTTTTTTCTCCTTCGTTTTCTTTCCGATGCACTGAATTGAACTGGTCTGCCCACCATTGTTTATCGTTTAGTTGATCTAGCCAGGATCTAGCGTGAAGGGGGATGTCGCAAACATTTTTGTTGGCAGAAATTAAAACAAGTGCCGCGGAGCGACAGCGCTCATCTAACGTCTACTGCGGTGACTCTGTGGTGGAGTGGTGGGATTCTAGTAAACCCTGTTAGTCCCAAATGTGTTCACACATACAGCGCCAGAAACAGTGGAGCGAGGCGGGACAGAGAGCCAAACGCGTCAAGAGGAAGGTGTCTGGATCGTATGACCCACCAGTTGCCACGGAGAGCGCGCGTTATAGGGTCGTCGAGATTTAAAGATGGACTCCCATCGTACGTAGAGCAACAACTATTGCAAGAACAGAATAGGTAAGCACTCATCGCCTTTACCTACGCAGCCTACAGGCTGGCACAGCGAGCTGCCGAACCTGTAACCAATTAAACGCAGCGCAAAAACTACACAGTAGCCACCAGACACATGCACTGGCAGTAGCCACTGGCAGTGGCATCACGTACATGTAACATACTGACAGTACAGAATGCCATAGAAATTATACCGATTAAGCCGCATAAAACCTTCTTTAACCAAAATGTAGCTTTTGAAATTTCACTGTGACATTGAAGGCCTATACATCCAGGCAATGTATAGATCTACTAGCAACCGCGGCAGTCAAATTCTTTTCTACAGACAGTCAACAAATCCATGTTACCCTCCTCTTCGAGGGTCAAAAGGTTATCTGACACTTGCTCTTGCAGCATCTCCAGCAGAAGTAGAATTTCAGCGGTCCTTTCAATAATGCCATACCAAAATGCTAGTCCACCCGCTGAACACAAAAAAGTTTTTCACTCTGCTCCGTCAACGCATGGTCCTGCCGAAATGTGTAAAATCTGCCGGCCCATTGACGGCTTGACTCCCAATTCCGCACAGACTACACGAGGCACTGGTCCGAGCCGTTAAGAAATTGTGCGGCGCAATTCTGCATTCCTCCTATACCTTAAGTTAAGGGAGAATGTCCCTTCCTTTTACACGCTCTGACCTTTGATCCTTGACGCGCCCAGCTTCGACACCCAACTGTTTGCGGTATTACGCCCCGCACGTCCCGAAATCGTGACCGTACGTCGAGCGCTGTTTAGATTGTGCCCAACTGTTGACGACGGACGCGACGACGCCGCCCACGACCTCATCGCGATCTACCCCACCCGCCCCACCCGCTCCGCACCTCCTGCACTATCGCACGACAGCTACACACACCACAAATAGCTTTCGCAGTTTTTATATTATAATTTTTCAACATACTCATCATGAAGCATATATTATTTTTATTTTTCCTATATTCTACTACGTACCGCCCTAACCCACAAACTCCCCCAACCCAGAACACACTGCTTTGGGCAGCCACCTTCGTCGCACCCATACACCAATCACGACTGCCACACCCCCGACCGCACAGCGACCAGGCAGCAACGCGAGAGCACGGCGCACGTCATCCTGTCAGCACGTACCTGGGCGCTAAATCACCGTGTTAATACACGCCGACTTATTCAAATCGTCAAGACTTTTTCCGCACCCACACTCACACAACACGCTCAAAAACATCTTTACTCACCGCGTCGCACCGCACGCCCTTGAGCGACTATACTTTAGTACACATTAGTCCACTCCATTCTTGACTGCTAAAACTTCTGTAGGCTCTTCACTCCATACCACATTCCAGCGCCAGATTCGCTCCCGCCGCTACCAACACCTTTACACGCGCGCCACCAATTCTTCGCCTCAGCTGTCCGAGCTCACTAAATCAATACACATCCTGCGCACTCTCGCCACAGTGCGCCATGCCTTATTCCGCCACCACCAGCCTCGCCACGCCTCTCACCCACTGCCATCGCCGCACGCGTTTGCACCGGGCTTTCCTGCCTACACGACTGACCGGCCTACCCACCGCCGAGCACTCCACCCGCGCCTTCCCACCTCAACTCACCTACCACGCCTCGGCCTTTAGAACAATAATATGCATTAAGCGAGTGTAACACCTGTTCAACAAACCCTTGCTCTTTCGGCCAATTGCAACTGCCAAACTGCTACGGCCCTCACACTTCCACACAGGCTACCTCGGCCCCCTCTAAATCACATCAGCAAACAGCAGTTCAAGCCCTGTCTAACAGTCAACAAATGCGCATGTTTCACCCTCCCTCTTGAGGTCAAACGCGTTATCTAAGACACTACTCCTTCAGGCAGCGTCAAAAATTGGAAAGCACATTTCATCGGTCCTTTCCAGATAAACCGTGATAAAAAATGGCTAGGTCAGTGCGAAAAAACAAGCTCTTTTTCACTCTGTCCGTTAGCCATGCCTCCGAAAATGTGCTGATATCTGACCTTCCGCTCACTGCTTTGACCGGCCTCCAATTTGGCGGCACTGGTGACTGGCGTTTCCTGCCCATCCACACTCACTACACCGCAATATTTAAAGCAGCATAGCGTCGCGCGCTTCCTACGCACTTGTCGCCGCCACATCTCGTATTTACCTCTATACTAGCTAAGGCACTTAATCAGGCCCCATCGATTACTGCACCGATTTTAAGAATGTCGCTCAGCGTCAACTGCAGCTTTGTGTACCGTTAATCAAGTACATTACTTATCAGCGAACACGCGTACTTAGTTTTTGTCCATATCACTGCTCGGCTTACTAAGAAGATCTCTAATTGAACATCCGCAGTCCGACGAAATCAGCTTGACCTGACTGGTTTCCACAGTCTTCAAAACGATACCATTCGAAACGGCTGTGAAGTACCAGATTTATAGTCCCACGCGACATTTCTCGCACCGCATCATTTCCCCCCCGGACCGCCCCACCCCGCCACGCCAATGGTAGCGATACACCGAGCAACCCCGCCGATAC